AAACATTTCGTTCTAAAATTGCTGTTACATTGTGTTTTGTGCCATCATCCTGTGGCTTAGGTGGAGCTCGTGAAATTACGGTGTAGTCACCTCATTTGTGTACCATCAACACTGCAATGTCACCATTCTCAGCTGGAGCATACAGACAAATAAAAAAATATATTGATTGTAGCAGGGCTGGTGTGTATAATAATGCTTCTCTATTGATAATAATAACTTTATAAGTTCTTTAGGTCTTGCATAGAACACCGCAATAATGTATTGCAATGTAACCACCATTTATGATCGCTAGCATGTTAATTTAGTATTTTTGTAATGTATTTTATTTGAAAGGTAATTTTGCTTCCGCATCACGACAATTAGAAAGATGCCGATGATTCAATCCCTCATTAAGTAGCTTCTTAACACATTTGTTTCTTTCAAGCCTTTGTTTACTCATCAAGGCTGTTTCAGATAGCAAACATACTTCACCTTCATGCAACATATTAAGAATGAAATATTCATATATATTTCTACACAGTACTTGCTTTTGCAAACAACGTGAATGGCCAATTGCTTTTACTCGAGATGTAGGATGTCCATTTGATCTTTGCAAGATGCAGCAGATAGCTGCATAGTTTCTGCATTATGCTAATTTCCGAAAGCTGCTTATCGGGTAATTTAGCATGATATGGTACTTTCCGTAAGCTGCGGATGTCCGCAGCTTTCTGCACGATATGGCGCTTTCCGTAAGCTGCGGATGTCCGCATCTTTTCGCATGATATGGCGCTTTCCGCATGATGCGGCTTTCCGTAGTCCAATAATTGCGTATGTACGGATCCGTATATGCGGAACGTTTCAGTAGGGTATGAGCTACGTAACTAACACAGACCCGTTCTAAGTACGAAGCAACAAAGTCATCTACCAATTTTTCTGTAAGCACAGCTTCTTACTTGGCGAAAAAGTCTTCCCACTCCGAAGAATATTTGTGGGAGCATCGCTTTTTCATGGCGGCCACTTTACCATTTTAGCCACGCAACCAGGACGACAGGAACCGGTTACGGGAGGAAGGAATCCTCAATATTTCGAAGATTTGAAGACAGAATATTGTAAATCAGCTCTTCGGGATCTCGAAAGTGTTGTGCAAGACAAAAAATGACTGTGTTTGCTCCCTCTAGGCGCCAGGGTAGTACACCTGTTTTCTTAACACCGCTAGTAATCGTGCACTGCAGTGGAACCGGTGCGCAGGCCAATAGACATTCTTTAAACGCACGAGTGCCCACAACAGGCGCGAAAGCACTCGGGGGGAAGCTGTGTCGAAAAACTGCGCGTGCTTCACACTTGAACATTCCCGGTTGCGCCGTGCCAGTGCGCTTGTCAGTTAAAGGGAATTTGTCGCCAATGCGCCTTGTTCCAAACAAAGCTTGAAACATGAGGGCGGGATAGGAAGAACGACACAATGGCGCTCAATCTGCCTTTCTTCATTATATTATATGGTGAAATAGAGCAGTTTTTACAGGGAAAAAGGAAACAAGAACGAGACAACACTCGCTACTCTTGTGTTAGTTGTGCCTGTAAATAGTGCACTACTTAATCATACGGTATAATGTTCAGGCACCAACTAGTGCTGCTCTCAACCTTCTTGTCTTTCTTGTTTTGTCGTCTTCATGGTGCAAGAACTGTGCCACAAATAACATATTCGATAAACTTAAGCACCAACTCACCCAGAAAAAAAAGTTCTTTTAGAATGAATTTTGCAAGTTGTAACTTTTTATAGCTGAATATTTCGAAATATCAAACCTCTACGGCATAATGTTGCGTCAGCTGAGCGTCGCACAAGTATTTCTTTTGGATACCAAAGGCTTAGATGTAATAAATTAAGTAAGTTTAAACGTGTGAGTGGTCTATGTTTCTTAGATGGACTCTGAACCAACTACCTTCAACAGTGCCACTGGGTGCAATGTGAGGCTCTGACATTTAAAAAATACTCCAACTGATGTAATCGGCAGTTAGTAAGATAAGCTACATTTCCTAAAGACAGAGAGCGTATCCACTAATAAAAGACAGTGTCATCGACAGCATACGTATGATAGCAACCCGTAGCCCAGGCCGACAGTATATAACAGTCCAGGTGCCCAAAGAGCTCCGAAATTTATATTGTCATCGGGACGCTCTGAATAAAAGAGGAAGAATAGATCTCCTTGGTGCGAGCACGCGCTCAATACACCACACATTGTTATGCTACACTGGAAATAAAAAAACTTATCCAGCTGTGAGGATTTAACTCCCAGCACGCGTTTCCCATACTGGAATGTACCGGAGTATATACATGTTATAAAATGACGCAAACTATATGTAAAGATGTTGCGCGCACAGACATGTGTTGAAGAGCTGCAGATGCTTACATAACCAGTTGTTTGCACTTGCGCAACGATGCCAACTGGACCATGCGTATCAGCAACACAAGAAGCTGATATGAAGCGATGCTGATCCCGAGGATGCTGGCCCCGGACACTGCTACATAAAGAAACGTCAACGCGTGACAACTAACCACAATCGACGTTAACCGACGTGGCAGCTGTATCAAAGGAGTACATATGTAATTTGTATAAAATGAGGTAGGCAGCACTGCAACCACTATTGACGTTTCACGAGGATTAGAGTCTATTTGAAAATTAGTTCCGTGACCTGGCGTAGCTCTGTGGTAGAATTCTTCATCGCCCCGCGAAATGCTTGGATTCGAATAATGCTGAGACACTGTAATTTATTGTTTGCATTCGTCGGGCTAACGCTAGCGATGTCAGGTATTTCTTTACGCTCGCGCGTTAAAATGCCCCATGTGTGTTCTCGTCGTTACTAGGTCGATACTAAGTGTCGATTACCCGTGGCACATACCCGCATACCAGTGGCACATACCCACCCGTAGGTACCTAGCGATAAGGGTTTAGCGACGTACGTGAGTGTATTGTGAAATTATTCATGTCATGACCAGCACGCCATATTCGTCAAACCATTTTACCATCCCATGCTAATTTTGGTTCATGCCAAGTTAAGGGGGTGACCATGAGAGCACCCAAACGTACGGTGCTATATAGATCGACAGAGAGATCGATAAATAGATATGCTCAAAGTCGCCGAAATTCGCTAAGAAATGATTCAGAATAAAAAACCACCAAGGTAGCGTAACAGCATACTTTACCGAAAAATGATAGTGTAAGTGCGTTACCCGTCATACTTCCGATTATGTAAGAAGTATGTTATTACGTGACAGAAAAAATAGCGTTTTACTGGTAATGGCGTTATTTGTTACGCTTTTCCGCGCACACAGCTTGAAACTGTCACAGTAAACCCAGTATCAGCTGTCATAACTACTTACATTCGTACTATTCGGATTGTTTACCATACTTTTAAATAATTGTTCTTTAGTTTAAGGACGTCCTACTTCGAAAATAGGTTAGTTAAGTACAGATGTAGAAATAACCTGCATGGTCACATTTGCTTCAAAATGACATTACTTGCGTACAAATTTCTGATAATTTTTAGCAGTAAGTCAGATTTTATGAGAACGTAACGTGGTAGTTAACACGATACACGAAGTTAATGTTAGCTGTTCCACGTGCACGCAGAATTTATAGAATAAGTTCCTTTGTAAATACTGCAGCGAGTCTTTGACTGTGGTGCGCCTCCTAGGAAATTTAATTCACCAATTCAGTGTGTTTGCAATAGCCTTTCCTCTAGAAGTAATAAATTCACAAAGCGTGTAAATACATTAAAAGTGTTGCCAAAACCTTCAAAGGTAATAACTGTTGGAGGACGCCACCAGCTTTGTTGTTTCACGGGTGTTCATGCAGTGAAGCTGATATATTTTTATTTAAGGGTTCCTTTCTAGAGAGTCTACAAAACAAAACTGAGTAAAAATTGACAAAAAACATCATGTAACTACATCAGAATCTTGTGTGGCAATATGAATCATTGCTTCAAGACTGAAGACTTCTGCCATAATGACTGAATTTCATGACGCAGCCGCCGCATCACAATGCTCATATGCCAAATACGGTTACAATCGGTATTACTAAGAAAAACGTATTTTATTATCACCAAAAAAGTTTACCATAGAATAGAGTCAGTGCACCGATTTCGTTTGTAATACGAAACGTTTATGTGTGTAAGACATTTACCATGAAACATAAGGCTGATGTAAGGAACGCTTTAACGAAGTTTGCTCCTTTTGGTGACAAGCATATGTTGGCATTCTGGGCTGTAAATGGTTTTCCGGCGCCACTTCAAGGTAGCCTTACGGTAGTATTTTTTGCACTGATTATCAGGACATTCCACTGAACGATTTCTTACGCGGAGTTCATAATGAACCCCACCACCTGAAAGAAAAAAGTGACACACAGACACGTTTATCATGTTCCCCGAATTCATTAAACATTCGACAAAAAACACCAATTTGAAAAAATAGCCCACAGAAAAAAAATACACAAGTCTTTTACTAATATTTTTACCACCACCAAAAGCATGTAAATTTTTTTTTTGTCGTGCAAAGCGAGATATAAATTGCTAACGTTAAATTTCTGTATTTTTATTCGCCTACTTTTTGTTTTTGTTAGGGACAAAAGGCATGGAGGTAAGATCCTTGCTTTGATTCATCAAATGAAGTGGTTGAAAATTTTCAACCCAACACGCACACAGCACAAGGCTTACATTTTGTGACTCTGAAGGACCAAAAATGAAAGCCCGGAGTGAAACTAGGTCGCAAAATGAATGTCGTATGCTGATAAAGAAATGAAATATTCGTAAATCAGCAGGGCCAGCTTTATCACAATGACAGAATCATTGCTTGCGGCGGCATGATCACAAGAAGAATGCCTGACGAGTTGTGTGTTACGACTTTAACGTCATTCGGGCGATCTATCGCTTTTGTTCCACAGAAAGTAGTGGAAGTTATTGCACGCTTGCAGCCAGATACTCCGTCTCTCTTTCGTCCTGGTTATTTCACAGCCTGTATACGTGCTGTCAACTGTAGTTAATAATATACGCAGCGGCTACTATCACAGCTACCCTAACAAACAACGACGGTGCACCTGCCCACGTTTTAGATATTTGCAAACTGTTGTACTTTTCGTTATCATTACTTGAAGTAAGCCTACTCAGTTCACTACAGAACTGGATATACAAGGGCTTTCTTTATTTCTTGTTAAACGCCAAATTATATGAACAAAGCGATAATCATGCCAAGGAAATTAAAGTGAATATTTTATGAGAAATGGTAATTGTAGAAAAAGAAAATAAAAAAGACAACTAGCCGCTGGCAGGAACTGAACCTACGACCTTCGAAAAACGCATCCGATGTTTCAACACTGAGCTACAGTGCGTGATACATCCGTCCGCTGCACAGATATATGTGCACTCAAAGCGGCCCGGCAACACTTTTTGAGCATGATTAGGAAACACTGCCGATTGTAGTAAAGACTGCCGAGAGCACGCGAGTCTTATAATATGGTGCGGCACGTGGCCTGGAATTCACAATAAACTGTCAATGCAGAAATTTGCTATCTTTTCTCTTGAAAAACAACGAAAGAAGCTCAAAAATCACTCGTAAAAGACCTTATATCTTTCGTTGGCTCAATCTAAAACGGCGTGCTCGGTAGTTACATGGATCACCGTGCAAGGTCATGACTTGTCCAGGCGTGCAACGCAATTACACCAAAAAACCGCGTATTCGAAGAAAAAAAAGAAAGAAAATTGCTCAGGGTAACAGGTAATGCGTGACGTATTTTCCTTGCCCATGCCATGCTTCCCTGTTTAGCTTCAAGTCCTTTAGTAGGCACGAGAGAAGAGAGAATGCGATTGTAGCATGCAACAAATTTTGGTAGCTCTGCTAGTTTTAGAAGGATTTGTAAAATTTTGTTTGTGGCATTGATTTTGTGATGCAATAAGCTCTTTCAGTAAATCTTTTTCATGGTTACTTGAAAAAATGTTTCAGGGCCTCTTTAAATGTGGCCGCGTCCGTCAGCTTCGTCAGTACCCAATACGGCAAGTCTGGAACACTATTTTCTTGGCCATTGGTGCTTTGACTGGGCATGGCGGCACCGAAAGAATGTGGTTCGCTGACAATCCTTTGCTTTTTGCTGTGCAGTTCCTCGGCCTTTTGCGCACTGCGTAATGCGTTGAACATACCGTTGTCGAGGCGGCTAGGCATCAGTTCAGGAATTTCTACTGTCATTACGCTGGAGATCAACGTTTGACACCGCCCATCAGACCACCACTTCATTCTATGTCACCAAACGCAGAAGCTGGCACGCAACCTTCGCATGGAGCGACAACATGCGGAACCAGTATAAAGGGTCATCCTTTGGAATGCGCTACCACTGGGCACGGCGGCACCGAAAGAATGCGGTTCGCTGACAATCCTTTGCTTTTTGCTGTGCAGGTGAGGAAATGTTACGGCAAGTGTTACCGTTCAAGCGATCCTTTTCTGCTAGTGCTGCCGTGCCCATGGCTGTGTTGCCTGCTTGATATTGCTGTTATCGGCCTCAGGAAATTACTGCTTTTAGGAGGGGGCATTGAAACTAACCCCGGTCTCGACACTGCACTAATATTAAAGCAGCTTAGGGAAACTGCAGCTGACATTAAAGATATAAAAGAAAACCGCCTGTTAGAAATTTACAAAAAAAGGTGGACGCTTTATCAAGCCTTGAAACAAAAGTCACTTCATGTCAGGACCGGCTCACGCATATGAACCAAGTTGTTCTGACGCTTAAAAGGAAGATAGACGATTTAGAGAACCACAGTAGAAGACCTAACTTGGTCATTTTTGGGCTACCAAAACCAGAGGGTGAATTTGGTGGATCCCAGGAAACAGCCGTAAATAAAGGTATCTTTCAAGACCTCCTCGAGCTGGAACCAGTTGCGATAGAACGAATTCACAGATTAGGTCGTCCGTCTCCGAATAAGAAACGACCGGTCATCCTGAGACTGCTCGATACGAGAGATAAAATAATAATTTTTAAACAATGCCACAAACTGAAAAACACTCCTATATCAATAAGTGAGGACTATTCGCAGAAAGTTGATTGATTGAGTTGTGGGGTTTAATGTCCCAAAACCACCATTTGATTATGAGAGACGCCGTAGTAGAGGGCTCCGAAAATTTTGCCCACCTGGGATTCTTTAACGTGCACCCAAATCTGAGTACACGGGCCTACAACATTTCTGCCTCCATCGGAAATGCAGCCGCCACAGCCGGGATTTGATCCCGCGACCTGCGGGTCAGCAGCCGAGTACCTTAGCCACTAGACCACCGTGGCGGGGCTATTCGCAAAAAGTTCGTGAAGTTAGGCGGAAGCTTTGGGCAAGTGCGAAGGAAAACCGTGAGAGAGGGGACAAACTTTCCTTAGCTTTTGGCAAATTGTACATCAATAATGTGGCGTATGTTTGAACCGAGGAAATAAATGACAGAGTTGCTGCTCAAAAAACGACGAAGAAAATTCACGCTGGCCAATGACCCGTCATCACGCGCAAAAGCTAAGGTAGACACTAGTTTTACCGACTGCCAAGGCAATGTTTTAAAGATTACGTGTTTAGAAATCAATCTTCCATCCTACAGAAATTCAATTTCAGCCAAAGAAAAACACCTGCGTATCGTCAATTTCAACGCTCGTAGCGTAGTAAACAAGAAAGATATACTTGAAATTCAACTGCTACGGCATGATCCCCACATTGCAATCATAACAAAAACTTGGCTAAGTAGTGATATAACAAATGAAGTAGTTTTTCCACCCAATTACAAAGTGTTTCCCAAAGATAGAATGCACAGAGGCAGGGGTGTGGCCGTTATAGTGAAAGATAAGATAGGTGCGACGCTTATCGGTGACACTCCCGACCTGGAGTGCTTATGCTTCAAGTTATCATGCTGGGGCCATTGCTTCGTGTTGTACGCATGTTACAGGCCACCTGACGCTACTCCAGATTATTTGATTAAACTTCAAGAGCACATGTCTTTTTACCAGCATAAAAAAATTTTATTGATTGGTGATCTGAACCTGCCTGGTGTCAATTGGGAGCTCCTCCAAGCAAACAATAAGAGTGATGAAAACGCTAACATTATTTTCGACATTATGCTGACACATGATCTAATCCAAGTGGTTAAGAACCCACCCGTGCGCAAGGGCCATCCTGTTCTGTATTCGATGCTGTGTTTTTAAAGCGTGCATTTACTGAGCATAGTGTGTCAATTGAGGATGGTTCGTGAGATCATTTCCTTGTTGCGGTTTCTGTACCCATTGTCAAGATTGCTGTTCGCAAAATTCCCAAAACCATATCTATTAAAGATTATTCGGGAGCTGATGACGCCAGTGTCGTTGACTACATGGAAACCTGTCTTACGGGCGTCGCTGATAGTGGCGGTGAAGTGAGTGCTCTGTGGGCAACCTTTACTACAATGTGCAAGCATTGCATAGATACATTCATACCTACTAAATCTAAAAAAGTCAATAAAAGTTGGATGACGCGTGGCATAATTCAATTGAAGCACAAAATCAAACGAATAAAGAATAAACATGCGCGTATGGGGATTATTAATGCGCGTACGGATGTTATCACTGAACTACAAGACAAGCTAGAATGCGCTGGACGTGATTCGAAAGACCTATATTTCAATGCAACATTGCCGAACTTTATAAAGAACGCGCCGGATTAGTTTTGGAAATACCTAGGCGAAAGCAAGAAGTCTGTCATGGAAATCACAAATAATGGAACCATTATTAAGAACTTGAATGCTATCGCACAACATTTTAACGATTATTTTCATAGCGTGTTTACCAGTAGAAGTGCAGGGTTATCTTTAGACTCTGTAGTGGTTCAACGCCATGAAGCGAACTTCATCTCATACAATGGCATTGTGTCTATGTTGTTAAACTTAAAAACCAAAACAACTCCTGGCCCTGACGACATCCCAATCGTGTTCCTTAGGCGATACGCCGAAACTATTGCTAAATTCTTGGTTAAGTTATTCAGAGAATCTTTGCTATGTGCAAAAGTACCTAGTGATTGGATGATGGCTCGAGTTGTCCCAGTCTTTAAGAAAGCTGATCGATCGTTAATACAGAATTACCGCCCCATATCACTGACGTCATCATGCTGCAAAATTTTTGAGCACATAATCGCAAGTCGCATTATTGAATTCTTAGGCAAAAAGTCGATACTAACTACTTGTCAACATGGCTTCAGAAAAGGCTGCTCGACTATCGCACAATTAGTTATAGTAATCGATTCATTTGCTAAAGCTTTGTATGCTAACGGTCAAATTGATGCTGTATTTTTGGTTTTGAGTAAAGCCTTCGACAGGGTAATTCACGAAAAATAATTCTAG